GCCTCAACAGGCCCAAATTTGTAAATTGTATTTATTTGGTTTTTACAATATTCATATCAGGTCATTTTTTTTTATACCACGAGATGACAGAGAAATAACCTAATTATCACTTGCCTGTTTATACCAGGGGTGATAAACATACGGCCTGTGGGCCAAAACGGTCCTACTATGGGATGTTTGGCAAAATTATATTTCATTAAATATTTTTATCCAATATAGTTGTACTTCGTTGCATGAAAACAAAGTGGAAATACAGTACATGTACTTATTGATATTTATATGTAAATGATGTACTGATTGTACTGGTTCGGCCCATTCGACATCTAATTAAGCTGTATGCTGACACCCCTGGTTTAGACAGAGTATCTAGATAGTCTGGTCTTCGCAGTCTTACAACCAAGAATGTCTCCGCAGCAGATTCAAAGGTTGGCTTTTTCCAAAAAATCCCTAACGTGATTTCCCTCCATATCTATTACGCCGGCCTACACACTTTCTTTTACCACGTACGTGCACACATGTGCACACATGCATTAAGAGTGAACCGTCAGTGACAGATCGTCCCTCCTGGGACAGTCGTCCCCCGTGTCACAGTCATGTCCTGCTTAGTTCTGTTTAATATTTCAACACACGGGTCAGATGTGACGGAGAGATGGAAGCATGAGCTGATGGAAGAGACGGATAAGATGGAATGGTGTGTAAGGATTCTACTGTGGAAGCCAGTGTCTGCTGGAGGGATGTGAAACGGGAACATCCTGATCATTTTTGATCATTTGCATCTGAAGTGCTTCATGCTAAAAAGATCTATTTGCTGTTTCTTTTGAGAGAAAGACGGGATACTCTGAGAGGCCAAGACAATATTCATTGTGACATCGAGACACAAAAATACCATTGTAAAAATACAGGGCCAACAGGTGTTGATTTCTTATCTTTAGCCTTGTTATCAATAAGAAAAAAAAACATAAACCTAGTGAAAAAGTAACATAATTTTACACAAACTTTTATTTAGATCAACGATATGGGTTTTTGGATGTTTTGGGATGAGGCCAGAGGCTATCAACTGGCGGCCCACAAGCCAAATCCAGCCTGCTGATCCATCCAATCCAGGGACTGGATTCTAAAAATTCATTCCATTAGACAAAATTTAGATTTTTAGTTCATTTAATTTGATTGTCCATCACCGAAGACACCAGAAACATTCCATCCCTCTGAGAAATATAAAACATTCACGGATTAAACTGTAGAGTAAAGATAGTTTTGGATATTTCCCACTTCCTATAGTGTAACACTAACTGTCTCCATGTCCTTGGCTGTTCTCTGATCTGCTCGTTTCTCGTCCTTCCTGGACACGCTTAACTCTGCCGTACTGTGTAAAATATGTGACAACACTCCCTTTAAACATCTGATATCCTAGCCCTAAGATGGACTTTGCTTTTGTCATACTCTTCCATCTGACTTTCATCCCACTGTAGCAGGATAACAAAGAACAGTAAACCTCCTTCACAACAAAGGACCTCGCTCTGATGCTGCAGGGCTTTGTAATGAATTCCTCCTGGATTTCAAACAGCAGTGCAGGAGCAGTGCAGCGTGCACGTGAATACCAGAGGCATATTTGCTGGAGGTTTAGTTCTCTGTTTACTTCCTCTGTTGTAGCTTGGCTTTGCCGCTCAGCTTTATATGCAGGACTGAAAGTGTATCTGCCAAAATTAAATCCTTTCCTGTGTCTGTTTTTCCCTGGCTCATAGTTTTTCATCATTTCCATGTGCAATTTGAGGTGATGATGTCATCTCTTCACCTTTCACAGTTCCTTGTGTTTTGTGAGTTTCACCTGTGTCATCAAAAATACTTCCATCACGTTTTCATTTTCCGATGCGACTGCAGTGTAATGATGTTTCTCTAGTTTTTCATACCAAGCTGTTTTATTGAAAACATATTCCTTTTTACGACTCCAGTTTCTCCTTAAACTTAAGGCCGTCCTGGCTGGCGATGCCACATTTTGGTCTGAGTCAACAGAGTTCCAAGTGACACCCTTACAATCCCCATTCAAGTGCATTAACCTTAGTCACATTTGGTCAGCGTAGTGCTCCACCAGGCCAACTTTGGCCCTTTTTCAGCGTGTGCGAGCCAAAACACACAGGGATACTGAGCTGAGCCAAGAGGAGTGTGTCACAGTGTCAGCCCATGGACATGTCTGTCAAAGCTGGACTGACCTGGACCACAGCCTTAAATGACAAATGTGTATATAGTGATACTTTCTTTAACGAAACCTGCTTCTTAGTTGTTGTGGTTTGATTGTTGTTCTGACCTTCATGGTCAAGTATCAAACTCCAAAATGAAACCATTTGGCCAAAATGTTGGTCTCTCCTGATTTCCAATTGGCCCTGACTTTACTCTGTGTTTTGGACTCCAATAAATCTTTGCCAGAAGACCTGCTGCTACACCCAGCAGGGCACAGTGGATGATTAAACCATCATATTCAAGGTAGTGAACAAATCTAGGGTTGGCTGCCAAGCCTGGTAGACAGCATACCTTCATCACACCTGGTGTGAGTCCACTGGCAGGACACAGACGGCCTTTACTGCTAAATTATACAGGGTACAGGTCAAAAGCTAGACAGACAGTAAGAGTGTGTGAGGAGGATTCTTCCAATGTTCACTGATGATTCACAGTTTTTACACATTTTTTTAAACTGTAAACTCAGTTTGGAGAGACATGAAAAATGAGACCTCACACACATACATTGTGGGACTTTAAAGTCACATTTTCCACATAAATCATTAGAATCACCTACCCACCTATAGATTACCCACGTTGCCCTGAGTGTGTGTGAGAGCTCCTAACTTGTTCTGCTCTGATTTGAGGAGCTCTAACCTACATTCTACTCCATTAACATTCTTTAGACATTAGTTCAATTCCCGTGAAGTCATTAAGATTCAGATAAAGTGAGTTTGTCCATGATTCATGCTGATGGTGGAGCCACACAATCTCATTACACACTCAGCAGAACAGAGAGACAGTGGGCAGATGAGGATGAGGAAGAGAATAATACAGAAAGAGAGAAAAAGTGCTGAGCTCTCTTCCTCTCTCCCCTATTCTATTTCTCTCTCATTCACTATGCTGACAAAAAAACGGACTCCCACACTCTTCTGCTCGGCCTATTTATCACATTGATCAGCTCATAAAGGAGTCAGATGCACACCGCAGGCGTACGTATGAGAAATGTGCACATTAGAGAGATTCTGATGCACTGCATCTTCAGAGATTCAGGCAAAGGTTAGATTGTGCTGACGCGGTCATTGTCCACTGCTTGGCCTTGTGACATCGGACGGCCACAGATTACACACACTCTAGTCTTTATCTCTTGATGTGATGTGGATTAAGACAATCTCAGGGTTTATAAGTAAAACAAATAAGATAATTATGAGATGTTTACATCCATTTATCAAAATGAAATTATTTCCAAAAATATTCCATCAGACCAGAGTCATAACGTACTTGTTTCTGATCGACAACCTTCTTTCTGAAAATGTTTTTTTTACTTGTATTGTTTTTTGTTCTCCTTGTTTTTTCTTCACCACCGTGTCCGATCGCAGAGGCAGAAACTCTTTGTCTCCAGTTTCCACTCTCTCCTGCACCATTACAAACACACTAATCTGAGCAACATGAGGTCATCAGTGACATCATCATTCTCAAAAAACAACATCAAGATTGCCTTAAGCCCAGGAATTGGAATACATCAGTGGCATTGTACATGGTTTTACCACCACACTGCAGGGCTGCCGTACAGGAGCCGGACTGGATGGGTGAATAAATAAATAAATGGTGTTTAGATGTGAGTACTATAATACTGTGATCCCTACTGTTTGTTGTTTTTAACCATCCAAAAAATTGTAATAACTGCAAAGAGAGAATCACTGAAATTTCTTTCGTCTGCTTCAGAAGTGAAGAGGATCCGTACCACGTTTCTATGAAGGTATACCACGACACAGCCTGTACAGCTGTCAGGCTGCTCAGTCATTACAGAGGAGCAGAAGAAACTGCAAACATGCACCGTGTGTTGAACCGTTGCTCTTATTAGGGCTTCATTGATTTCTATGAGCAGCGTGACCAGAACTGTATCCATAACCTTACATGAACCATGGACTCATTCAGAGGTCATTTCCAGTCAGTGTAATGGTCCATTAGGAGTCTACGCTGGAGTTCCCTTTGCTTGTTTATGTTTTTCTCCTTGTGGTCCATACATTTATAGATACAGGGTCACAGAGGGTCACAGAGTTACAGTTTTAACCCTTTAACCTAAGAAGTGTTTTAACATGCATTTTTTTTATTATTATTTGAGTTGGTATTTTTGTGCTGTTTATCAAATGTTGTCAGATGGTACAACTGGTCATTTGTCATTTTGTCAAAAACTGTCAAAAAAGCTGTCACTGATTAAAAGGACAAGCAATCAAATTGTCTTTAGAGAACAAGAAAAGAGGAAGAGTATAATGTGAATTTAAAGGCTTTAAAGAAGTGTTTCAGCCTTTTCTTTGGTTTGTTTTTTGCTGGACTGGGATCAGATGGCTCTGTTGGATCAGATCAGTCGTCTTAGACTCAGTACTGCACTGCATTTGTATATAAAAGTAGATGAAAACCATGGCGGAAAGCAAAACACTGAATGAGTATCCACTCTATCAGGTCTGTCCATCATCTTTCATATATGAAAAAGACATTCATTCACAACATTCAGCCAAAAGATTGAAAAACGTCTATGCTTTCTTGCAAAGACTAAAGACCACAGAATGTTGTTGTTTCCACACCTATTCTGTAATCTTCTTAACCTCAGGAGTCAATTTCAAATTATGGAATTTAGTTCTGAGTGATTCTAGAAAAGTGGACCCCCTTCTCTGGCAACAGTTGTTTTTAAAAATGCTTCGTGCAGGGCATGTTAATCAAAGGGAGGGCTTCACCCTTCATGTACAACAGAAAAGAAAGAAAAGAAAAAATACCAATGGAGTGCCTACCACACAGCAGCTGCATCCAGGCGCAGGTCTTGTAAACGGTGGAGGTGTTGCAGAAGAAGAACAGTGCCATGCAGGCGATGCAGCTGAGGATCAGCACCATGGACAGCAACACGAAGACCGAGGCTGCCTTGAAGGCTCCGGACGGGATGGAGCTGAAGTCGGAGAAGCTGCCCACGCAGGTGAGCTCCCGGCTGGGCGACGGCCCGGTGCCCACGCAGTAGTGGAAGAGGCCGAAGTAGCCGGCCTGTGGCGTGTTGACGCTGTCGCCGATCCAGTAGGGCTGGATGAACACCACCACGTTGACGATGGCGAAGCAAATGGTGAAGATGGCCCAGAGCACCCCGATGGCACGGGAGTTGCGCATGTAATTGTCATGGTAAATCTTGGAGGCTTCTTGGGAAGGCAACATGTTTTGTGTTGTTTTCTTTGTTGTTCTGCTGCTCTTTCTTCTTATAAGACAAACGTGTGTTGGTTTTTACAAATCAACACTCCTCGCTGTCGGATTTCTTCTGCGCCAATTTCTTCTTTTCTTTTCGCTTGTCCTTTGGCTATTTCATAAACTGGCCCTCTACAGGATTAGACATATCATATGTTGATGTTAATATGAATATAAGTGTTAAAGAAGAATGAGGGGAGATGCTACATTGAAGCAATACAAATACACAGTCTACCTGTGCCAGTGATGAATAATTTACCAAGACCAGTGATTCAACATTGCAAGGCTCTTTTCCTCGGGGCTACACCATGAATGATTGAAATATTAAAGAAACAATCCATGAAAAGACAATGTTTTTCTTTTATTTCACAGTCGACGGTGGATGGAGGCTGAATCCGTTTTCCTCCTCATCCATCAGCTCAGCGCTTTCTTCGGCGTTTCCCTTATTTCCATGCGTCCAGAGCTTGGATGCGTGTTGTTGCCTGTAGCGCCAGCGGTGGAGCCCCCTTCTATCATCCAGGCATCCGTGCGGGTTCTTCCCTTCCTTCACTCCTTCCCTTTCTTTCCTCTTCTCAGTGTCCACGCAGCGGCAAGGCAACGAGACCAAAAGACATTCAATTCTTTAAATAAACAAAAGCAAATTAAATGTTCCAAAACACGGGGCCTCCGTCAAATTTCAACAGTCCTTTCTGGTAAATCCGACAACCTCCGCCGCCTCGCCTCCATTATCATCATGGTTCTTCTCGTAGCCTCGCTCTCTCTGTGTGTGTGTGCCTCTCTCTGTCTCTGTCTCTCAGTCTTTCTCTCTCTTCCTTTGCGCGCCCCCACGGAAGATGCTGATGTTGTGGGCTACACCGATGACAGCAATGGGCGCGTGCACGCACGCGGACGCAGCAGCAGCAGCAGCAGCCGCAGCAGCAGCAGCCGCAGCAGCAGCAGCAACAGCAGCAGCAGCAGCAACAGCAGCAGCAGCAGTCGTGGGGATTGAGGGGATTTTTCCTCAACCTCGCTTCACCTCCGAATCACACCAGTGCGCACATATGAAACACGTGTGGATGAAAAATGATGAGTTTCCATGGCGAGGGGCAGAGATGATGGGGGGCTGCAGGTGGAGGACTCAGACTCTGAAAAATAATTCTTGAAAAAAACACAGTTCTGGTCATTTAGAGGAAATGCAATTATGAACATACTGTAAAGCAGAGATTTTTAAAGAATTCCATTCATCGTCCTTGTGACGAAACATGTGGTCAGGTGTACCTGTGGCAACGTGGACTTTATATCAGTGTCTCATAGGTATCCTTATTCTTTGGTGTTTTGGTGAGATATTGATGTCTGTGTACTCCAGAAAGTTTTTAAGTTTGCAACTGGGTCAGCTTCTCTGTTCTGTGCAGTTTTCGACTGCCCGTTTCTTAGAGTAGAAGACCAGAGCTGCTCCACAGTCAGAGTCACAATGATGTGACACATGTTTTCAACAGGGGACAGATCTAGACTGCAGGCCGGCCAGTTAAACACTCACACAACTCTATGTTCTAATCACCAGTAGCCAATCACTTTAGAAGTCTTACTAATCAACACACCAGAAACAAATAGTTCCAGCTCTTGTCAGAAAACCACGACTGAGCGCCCCGTCTCAGACAAAGAGAACACAACTCTGCTCAACCCTTTGTTTCCTAAACACTTCCTGAACCAGGAGTGGCCTGTGAACACTTAGGAGAATGTAAACACTAATGGGTGGATACATACTTTAATGTCTCTGCACTCTCTGTGCCTCTCTTTCATTCATAATAGAATAATGCAGTGGTTCCATGTCAGCACCGTTGATCTTTGTCTGTGCAGTGAGCAGATGCATTTGAGGCTGTAAACACATGATGATGCAGAAACCCTAAAGGCTTTAGATGACTCATACATCAGATACAACAGATGAATCAAACTTTGCCTTTAACTAATAAACTTATGTGCAGTTTATGCATTTTTGAGAATAAAATAAAATAAAATAAACCAACATTTGTGGTTTACTTTTTATTATTTTCTGGGAACTACTAACTTCAAATGCAGCTGCTGCCAAGGCTGTCCTGCTGCTGATGCTGTATCCTGGAAAAGACTGGGAATTGCCAAGGTCATCAGAATCAACCCTCCAGGGTCAAAACCCTGCAAGTTGGATGGATTTGTTGCAGGAATTTCTCTGTAGGCTTTAATCTCTGTGCAGTCGAAGTGGCGAGGATCAATTAGCTTCCTGTAGAAATCCTCTTCCAGAATTCTATCAGATCTGGGGAGATTTCCAGCTATGAGAAAGAAAGAAAAGCATTGTTAAATATTCCAATATTAAATGTTCATTTCCAACAGTTAGTTAAGAAAACGACTGATGTTTTTTCTTGTGTTCCGACGCTCCTTTCACTGGTTAAATGGCTGAGCTGTTCAGTTTGCATTTTTCTGATAATCTACGGCCCCCTTGTGTTCATAGAAGGCACAGGCGTGCGGGCTTGAACAGCACCGCTGTGGCAGTTGGCTCTCCACTCTGAAAGATTTGTTACATCTGAATTCTTTTTATTTATTTTTGGCAATTTGGCAAAGTCAAAACTGAATTAAAACGTCTTTGCAGGACACGCTGCAGATCTTCAGGAAAGTTCTATTTTCCTTCACATTTTACATTTCAGTACCTGATGTCAGGAAACAAGAGAATTGGAAATACAAACAGTTCATAGTCTTGTAAGAGGTGTAACGTTTAATGGAAAATTACACAAGAAATGGTGACTTTGATTGAGCTACACTGCCAACTGTATGTTGTGGGGATTTTAATAAAGTGCACCGAGTTAGATTATACTGTGTCTGTAAAAATGCAATGCATGTATATGGCGGTAAATATAGCATTTACACAGAAAAATAGAATTTTGGATGATCTTAAAATAATAAACCTGACATTCATGTCTGTAAAAGGCACATTTAAATATTCTTTAATAAATATAATTAGAAGCAGTTGTAAGTCCAGAAGGTTGCAGGTTTGAATCCTCCAGGTGCCACTGAGCATGTCACTACCCAACACACTGCTCAGCTTGAGCTGCCCCCATGCTCACTAAGGAGATGGAATCAAGGCAGAGGTCACATTTTCTTGTGTTCAGTGGTGTGCTGTGTCACAAGGACAATAAATCACTTCCACTTCAATAACCCAAAGATTTTATGTCTTTGAAGAGCTTTAATTTTTTAAACAAAATTATCCACCAAAACGCACAACCCAAAATAACATTCCCTTTTTCCTCCCAGTCACAAAATATGCAGATAGAAAACTGGGTTATTTGCCATTTTAAACGGCCCTGTTGACAGTGGACAACAGATGCAGATTCCTACATATCTCTACAGGCTTATATATATTTGACAGATGTGTGATGAGTAGTGCAGTAAGATGGGTGATAGCTCCTGGTTGTAGTGTGAACAGAAAACAAGCGTTAAATATGTGGATTCTGTCCAAACAAACATGTATTTAGCGTCTGCTTCTGGAGCACTCAGACTGTTTTAGTTCAACCTGTGCTCTCCTGTCATCTGCTGTCTGCAGCAGGGGAGCTGACAATCTGCATTCATGTGTGTACATGTCTGTGTCTGTGTGTGTGTGTGTGTGTGTGTGTGTGTGTGTGTCTGGGGGGGAGTTAGAGAGCTAAAATTGGCAGAGCAGGAGCAGGAGGAGCAGTGTAGCAGCTGAAAGTGAGGACATGTCAGTGGGAGAAAGAATCATACACAGCGAGGGTTTTACCCCTGGAGGAAACAATGGGGTGTTTTTGGGGAGAGTGTGCATGTGTGTGTATGTGTGTGCGGTCACAGACAAGCAGGGGCAGCTAAAAGAAGGAGCTGTTGTCTAACACATCTTCAGAGATTCAGATGTGTAACCTTTTTGACCTTTTTAAGATGTAAAAATTGTTTCCATTTTATCGAGCGTCACATTAGCTTGTCCGGGGCATTAAACTGAAGGAATATGGGTGACCTATCAGTGTGGAATTTTAAATGGGTTAAGATAGGATCTTATTTTTATTTATTTATGCAGGAATAATAGCGCTGTCACAGAGAACAGTCCTCCAGGGAATAGGAAAACTGTGTCACTGTGCACAACAGTTTAGTTCAGTTATCGCAGGGAGAAAGCAGAATGTTTTTATTGCATCTTTTATGAATTAGTTTGCTGGCTTTATGAATAAGTCACCTGAATTTGGCAAAGATTAATTTGCAGTAAAAGAAATAGCTTAAATTACTGTTTAAGTTAGCTGGAAGACAATGGTTTTTACTTCTTAAATGCTTCAAATATTATCCAAATGTAGTGCAACATGAACCCAGGGCAGTGGTTGCATAAACAGTTTTGGCTTGTGACCCCATTTTGACATCACAAATTTCTGCTGACCATAGATACATTTTAATCTTAGCTTAGCTTATTAGCTTTACAAGTGTCTGCTGCATAAAAAAACATGACAAACTAACTAAGGGTTTTCTTAACAGTTAACACATCTTTGTGTTTAGTTCTTTTCTTCCTGTGCTTGTACTGCTGCATTCATCTCCATGTCCAACTTCTATGCACTCCACCCAATTAGTGTCAAGTCCCAGTCCTGAAATTGTCTTGAAAGTACCTGACTATGATGGAAAAGCTTCAGACACATTGTTTCCCATTTAGTATCCGAGGCCTCAGCGTACAAAGGTGACAGTAAACGTCACAGAGCTGTTGTGTTCCGCCCAGATACAGGACTATGTAGTTATTGTTGCTAAAGGCTAAACAATAAAGGGCTAATGAACTGGTTTGAACCAGTAAGAAGAACAAAGAACACACAGCATGGACACAGAACAATGACCTGACAAAGACAGAGTGAGGGGGAGAGGTGTATACATACCCAGTGAACCAGGTGACACCAGTGAGACTAACGACAGAGACACAGGTGAGAGTGATCACACTGATTGAACAGCAGACACAGACAGAGGGGGAAGTGACACTTAAGGGAAGGTAAGGCAAGGAAAAAGTGCAAAAAATAAAAAGTCCCAGAAATGCTTCAAAATGCAAGACTAGGTCCTAAAACATGCTGCCAAGTGATTCTTTTGTGTTTAAAACTCCAAAAATTATTTTATATGAATATTTGAAAATATCACAACTTTTTATTTTTTGCACTTTTTCAGGAAGGTGGCACATGTTTTTGGTGATATTTTAACATATTCAGCATTCTAATAGAGAGGAGTTTCAGTACAATTAATTTATTGATATAAGGTATTTTCTATATTCATTATATTTAATATGCTCTTCTTACAGATTTGAAGAATACCAGATGAAGAAAAGCATCACAGTCGTTAGTTGTGTAGTTAGAAAGTGCAACTGAAATTTAATTTGCACCCTAAAGTTTTAATAAATAAATACAGATTTTAAAAGCATACATGATCTGTGTAAATGCATTATTGCTATATGGTTAAACAAGATTGGGTTAAACAAGGTGCAGGACTTTGGACTTCACCTGAGACGTTCAGTCCTGACTTGCGACTTGCCAGTTTTGACTTGGGACTTGAGAATGTATTTATTTAGCAGATTGTTTCTGTGGAATGTATACACAAACCATACAATCCAGATAGATAGATAGAATTTTATTAATCCCTCTGAGTTCAGCAGAAAATGAAATCATTTTAGTGTTTAAGATCATAGAGAAACTGTTCTACCAGCTGAGAACAAAACAGTGCGTGTTAATTGTTAAAAGTGGTGCTGAGATTCTAATATCCCGTACCACAGGGGACTCTGTAAAGTTGCACTATGTCAATATATATAAAAAACTACTGTGATTACTTAAAATTTAATCTCTGTTGTCTCTCTGGGAAAGCACAGTGGAAGCAATGGCAGAGTTGCTGATAAAATTATATCTTAAGAGCATAAAGTTTTAAAAATAGAAACCGATATTTCTTAAAGGTCTTTTATAGGAAATATTAATAAATACTCAGCAGTAAAAAAAGGTGTAGAATCCATAAATATTATTAAATTGTAGGAAAACAGCTTATCTTATAACGCCCAAACAACAGATATGAGTGTGTGTGTGTGTGTGTGTACTGCCATCAATGTTGTTTAGACCACGATAAATGAAACACAATTTTAAAAACAAAACACCAAAAACACTGGTATGGCTGCCCAGTCAAAATACACAAACACCAGTTTCAGAAAAGGTTGCATAGGAAAAAAAGACATAAAAACATAACAACTATTATAGTAAAAGTTGGTGATGTAAAATTATAATCATTATCTGTACCAACTTGCATTATTTTAAAAATTCAAAAAACACGAAAGCTAAATATATGAAAAGTCAGTAAAGACATTATCTGCTATGGGTCAAAAGTAGTGTTAAACATCCCTGACCTTTGACTTAGGGATATGTTGTATTACACAGTTTCATATGAAGTTCATTTTAGTGTAAAGTTCCACATTTTTACCAAAACTGGAGTTTGTATTGAATTCCCTTTCCGAACCTGCTCCGCTTGGTTTTCCTATGGTGTCGCAGTATTTTGGTAAGCATTGCTGGAAAACAAACAAAACAAAAATTAAAAAAAAAAAAAAAAAACTTTCTTTCAACAAAGGTCTCATCGTACATTGTAATCAACACTGATAGATTTTGCATATATGTATATATACACAAACAGTTCCACAGTGTTATTTTTTTTTTTTTTTACAAAAAGATGAAAAAAAAGACTGATTTTATTCACTCTTCCGTAGGTTCAGGAGGAGCATCCAGCGTCTCAAACATGTCTTCTATGACCTGCCACAGACAGTTTTCCAGAGGGAAATCATTGTCCACTAGGTTGACCAGGAAGTAGTTGTCGTGAATATACTTGATGATCATCCGTGACGGAGACTCGTCTTCGTAGAGTTTGGCCCACTGCTCAATCCACAAGGCGAAAGCTTCATCCTGAGGAACAATTCAAACAAAAAACTTAGGCAAAAGGAAAGCTGCTGAAACAAAGTCCAATATGACCTCACATGACTACAGTTCCATCTCTTTTACCTTCCAGAACATAAAACTGACTGGATCCACCACAGTAGGCTGAACAATCTCTCTGCCAGGAAAAATCCCCCACGTTACTGCGTTAGGTTGCATGTCGGCAGCATTGGTCAGATTATGACCCTGCAACCAACACATGAACACGACATTACTGGAGTAAAAACGGATGAAAAATGCTTTGAGTCCTTTCACTTACATGCACGTTAACGATGTGGTAGTTGACGCGAGGTTCATACTTCTTCAGCACTTTGAGGAGAGCTGTCACATTTTCACTGGAAGTGAAGAATTCCAGGTAGGCCTGGGAATTATACAGGACCAATAAGAAGACATTGGAGAAGAGACATCACTGTATCTAATCATGCCACACCAGTGACTGTCATTATCAATACACTCAACATTGGCAAAGGACATTAAGATAATGATAAAAGGACAAATGTCCACAGAGCAACAAAATAACTTTATATATAACATTATAATCTAAAGATGTCAAACTTTTACCCTGCCTGTTTTATCCAATTATGTTTAAGTGTACATGCTCTGCCTTAATAAACTGCCAAAATGACTACAACTACAAGGTCTACACTAGTGCAGATTGGTCATTTAAGTTAGAGCCCATTTAACACCCTCCTAAGTCATCTTCTGCTCTTGCCTTTTGAAAAACGTAGCCTCCTGCAGGACCCCATCCTACTATGGGATCTGTGGAGGGTTTTCCGTTAATGCTGGGTTGGGAGTTAATGGTGAGAACTCCTCGTTTATTAACCCTCTCCAGCTCATCCTGCAGAAGGTTTGTCTCGGGAGCCAGGGGCTCGTCATTCCACGGCAAACACATCACCTTTGAGAAGAAAAGAGTGACATCAAGTTACAACAGCCTACAGAGACCTCTGCTGGTTAAACCTGGCATTTACACCAACTACATTAGACAGATGCACAGAAAATCTACCTTGTGTCCACTGGGGTTGGCTTGCCCTGTGATGTAGTTGGTGAAAACCTCAAAGACGCTCTTTTCGTTCTTCAGCTCCTCTCCCCACATCTGCAGCAGAGCGTCTTTAGACGACTTACTCTTCAAGTAGAACAGGTAATAATCGTTCAGTTCCCCAAATGCTGGAGAAGAGGAGTTTCCCCTGGAGGTGGGACGGCTTTGTTAACTGACAGCAGGTTTTATGGATTCATGAGAAATTGATTAACACTCATTTACACTTTAATTTCTATCTTAAATGTTTTAATGTAAAGAGATCTTCTTGCCATCTTCCATTTGGGAAGTCATCCCAGTCCTGGGTTCTGTAGATGTAGCTCTTGGGCCTGGAGGCCCAGAAGATGGGTCGAACATCTTCTACTTTCCTTTTGGGATGAGCGCTCACTGCCCACGGAAGAGGACGCCTAATAAAAATATATACATTTTAATTTCATACAGTGGAGCTTCTTTTGTATGGTTCAATAAACTCTAATGCTAACTGCTGAAATAGATTGAATTGCAGTGTCCCTTGTGGCTGACTAGTAATTAAGCAATCCAAAGACAAACAATTCCTACCCTAAACCTGGGTTGGTTTAATTCGTTGAGGAAACATAATAAAACCCCAACCAACTGCGTATACACTGCAACAATATTTACCTCTTATTTAATTAGAAAGTAAATTAGTTAAGAAACTTTTTCTTGCAAAAATAGAAAGACATTTACTTTTCTAAAAACTTACTTTTTAGTAAGTAAGGACTTATTTGGACAAACATTACATGAGTGAGCAGAAGCATTAACTGACCTCGGGTCTTCTACCCACAGACCCAGCTGCCGGAGGACCTCCATGGTGGCCACCTCTCTATTCAGAGTGTAGAAGTGGACGCCTGGCACTTTGCCACTGTCCAGCAGCACACGGCACATCTCCACAGCCTGCTGGATCCCATAATTACGAATGGCAGCATCGTTGTCTTTGATGGGCTCGATGACCTTGGTGATCTCCTCCGGTACCTCCAGTTTGGATAGTTTGACAAGCTGACGCAGGGACTGGTAACCCTTGAGAGAAAGAGAGACAGAGAAAGAAAGAGAGTGTAAGGCTATAGCAATGAAACTAAAATAGAATTACATTTCAGAGTATGCTCAAATATCTTATTATACATATTCATTCATTTTAAAATTAATAACAATCAAATTGAAAATATAAGGAATTTCATTGATTTTACTTTAGTGTTCACTCACCTCATACAAATACCATACTCTGAGTTGGTTCTCATTTTAGTCAACATCACAGTGACGTCGATGACAGTAACAAGACCCTGGAAGTTTAATTTACCTGAATGGGGAAGATTCCAGGTAGGATTGGACAGGTGATTCCGATAGCTCTGCAGTCATCCAAAAACTTCAGGAATGACTCTGCCCTGAAAAAGAGCTGAGTGATAACAAAGTCTGCTCCCGCCTCCACCTTTTCTTTTAGGTGCTGGAGATCGTTCTGGTAGCTTTCTGCCTCAGGATGACCTGTGGGATAGCCTGGAAAACACCATGACAACCACTGAGCAACATGAACAAACATTGTGGCACTTTGATACGTGTAATGTTTGCTCTTATTGGTGATGAAATACCTGCAACACAAATGTCAAAGTACTCCTCAAACTCTGAGCGGATGTGTTTTACAAGGTCGACAGCATAGTTGAAGCCTCCTTCTTCTTCCTCCCAGTCTGATCCCACTGGGTCTGAGGAAAACCACGACAGCACATTTGTTTATCAGAAGTCAAGTTAGAAAGTAAAGTAAATTTGACAGCTTTCTCTGACTAACTTCCTATTGTAAGCTTATTCACATTTCACAATAAAAGCGGAAGCTGAAATAAACATTTTCTAATGTGACTCTGGCAGTTAACTGAATATCTTTAGTTTGCAGACAAGCAAAAAACCATTTAAAATGGTTGTTATATACAGGTGTTTTCTACAAATTGCATGTAACATCTTGTTAACTTATCAAAAAGAAATACTTTTTAAAAAACAGGTTTTGAACTGTTGAATATAATTATTCAGAATATCTTGAAGTTTCTCAACTCAAGAAATATTTTTTAATCAGGACTTTAAGACAAACCTAATAAATCAATGGATTAGACCTATAAATAAGAAGGTGTTGCTGGGAATTAAACCAAGCACCAGTTCGTCTTCTCTTACCTCCCCTCAGTGCCATGATGTTCTTCAGTCCAAGGCGTTTGGCTTTGGCCAGATAGCCTGTGATCTTCTCTTTGGTCTGGTTGCAGCAAGTCAGATGGAGGATGCTCTCTAGACCACAATAGTTGACTGCTGTACTGGCAATCATCATTGAGGATGTTTCCTTGTCTGAGCCTGGATCTCCTGCTGGATGCCAGGTAATGTCTATAAACATAGGGCCACCAGCACCCATTCTATCAAATCTGAAAAAAGGAGTAAAGTTCAAAAGCTCTGCCTTTTGCTTACAAAAGATTGTTCCTGACTACTTTGTTAAAATTATTTCAAATGCCTTGATATGAGATTGACAGCTCCGCTGGCTGTGCGAGGAGGAAAAAACTCCAGAGAGAACCAATGATCTCCAGACTCAATCCTCCTTCGCATCTTGTCACGCAGCCTGTGAGAACCATCTGAGTCCAGCACTGGTGTGGAACATCTGGAGCTCTCCCTGGAGCTTGCCCCGCTGCTGCTGCTCCCACTGGGGTCTGCCTTGCAAAGCTGCCAGCTACCATCACCTTGCTGCACCTGGTTCACCATGATAGCAATTTATACTGAAAAGAGAAAAATGTGTTTCTAAATGTGTGCATTTTCTAATTTCACATTTATAAAAAAAAAATCATGCAATAGCAATTGAGTTGCTTGTTTGTGAAACTTCATGGGGTGTAATAACTGCAATACAACACTGTGTGGTTCAAACAGAGTCTTTAGCAGAGAATTCAGACGAGGAGGTGGAGTCTGACTAAAGCTTGAACCTATCATTACTGTAGCTTATGAGCTTCTTTTGTGTGGCAGCACTGTATAAGCTACTTTCTTCTACATGTGACTTTAATTTACAAAACTGACCTTGTTCTAATAGGTCAATTTCTAGGATTATCAACCTGCAGACTGACTTTTCTGCCCCCCCCCCCGTTTTTTACAAATTCGTTTTTGTTCAATTGTTCAGTAATGTTTACTTAGATATAAGTTGCATTTAACTACTTATACTTACTGTATAAAGTGACTAACAACTCTAACAATATGCTTTTGGCTACAAGTAGCCCATGCCATTTCGGAAGACTACCTTACAATTATCACACACGCGCCGTCCATTTAAATCGCTAAAATTAGCTACTAATAGCACATGTTAATACAGGTCCTTTTGCAGCAGGCGTTTAAATGACAACTGACTAATGTGGATTATATGACAACATTAAGTGGCAATTGCTGACAGACATGAGCTGCTGGTTTTATTTATAACACTGTCCCTGTATTACTACGTCATTGTACACATGTATAAGGAAAGCTTGAGGGACAGCAGCAAACCCGAACATTGCGTACCGGCAGTGGCGTCTGCTAACTGAGACAAAAGCTAACACGTTGGCTGTGCTGTTCATTCATTCTGTGTTAAATATAAAAACTATTTGGAACCCTTGAATGCTGATTGTACCTCTTCCCACTACCGGGTATCGTTATGAATTTAACAAAACAACAACAAAGAGCTCGCTTGTCTTACCAGGTCCGGTCGATAGTATTCTTCGACAGCTCCTCATCTAGGACAGTCCCAGCTTGAAAGCAGCACACTCAGACCGAAGCTACAAGACAGCAACGTGTTGCGTTTACGTGACGTCGGAAAACCCTGCATTTGAGAAAATTAAAACAACACCAGGTTGAGTTTACAGGTTCCCGGTGTACGATTTGTCTTTCGAAAAACTAACTCTTTCACATAAACCATCCACTCTCCATCCATATAGCTTAAAACGGTCATGTTTTGCCCCTTTCATTCCCATAGAAAATAAAGCACTTTTGTGCTTCTGCCTTTCGCTATTTCTGTCTTTTTGCTGTTTTCTGCGCTTGTATAAAATCTTATCGAAAGAATGTTGTCAATTGTAGGTTTTAGATACAACCACAGATGCAACCATTTTCTGTATTTGTATTTGGTCGTTTGGGAAAAATATATAAAAAACACGTTTTCAAATTTCCCCGTTTCAAAAGAAATAATTCAAATGAATCGTACATTTTCACGGTGTTTCACTTTTGTAAATTAAAGTATTTGAAACAACCACAATGCACGATTAGCAATTACTCGGAATTCTTTTGTAAAAATACATTTTATGTGTATATTAAGTTGTGTATATTCAAGAACATTATCTTAGATGCGTAAAAATACGCAGTATTGACGGTTTTTAAAATACTTTCTGCTTTTGGGTTTGCGTGGTTGACCCATAAGCTTAATTGGCTTGCCGAAGCGATCAGAGGTGCACGCCTAACCCCTTACCAATGAAATTAACGGATTTAATGATTATTGGCCAATTACAGCCAAGGAAGCGTTCACACGGGTTTAATGTGTTGCGTTTCTGATGTCATAAAAATTATTAAAACTTCAATTACGTTATTTTAATGTTAACTATACCTTCATAAATATTCATTTATATAATTGACAAAATATTAGTAATGCAAATAATTTTGTATTCATTTCTAACAATTTGTATTTGATTTTGATTTCTTCCTGAACGTGAATGCAGCGTGACACAACAACAAAGATGGCGTGTTGCGGGAGCTGTATGTGCTGCCGATGTTGCTGCAGAGACGGAGAAACACGGACGCCAGAGGAACTTGTAAGAAAAAAAAGCGCATATTACCACGAGCAGAAATCGAATATTAATAATCCTCTTTTATTACAATTTTTGTTTCCGTGGTGCTACACATTACGTCGCCCGTGTTCCACCCTAAAGACGTTTAGAGTTACTAGCTGACAAAACATAATTTGCAGATATAGAATTTTAATTGATCTTATTCTATTTCTATAGTTACAGTAGACATTAGGCCACTGGGGTGTTTATGTGAAGATCTGACTACTAAGTCACTTTATTTCGGCGTCATGTAATCCGGTTAACGGACAGGATTTTACTACGTTAAGCCCTTTTTGGAAGTGACTCCTAATGTTACCAAGCCACATACGTGAATTCACCACAGTTGTTCAGGATGCCTATTTAAATCGACACGGAGATTCACTAATAGCAGAAAAGGAAAGTAGACGTGAAAGTTATTATAATTTTTGAATAAGGAAGGTTGTTATCAAGACTATCCTGTCGAATTGAAAATTGTGCCAACAGTAGACACACCCTGGTGCTCAGTTCCTTAGACAATGACATTATTGTTTTAAGTTTTAAGTACTAACAGATTTAGTTTCATTGATCAATATAGGTGTATAAAATAATTATAAGGGCCAGGTGTTGAATCCAGCAGTGTGTCTGTATGTCACATCATCAATTTTGGCCAAAACACTTGCCCTTCTTGCTACAGAGAAGAAAAAAAATCCTCTTACATGCTGTCATGTCAGCGTGCAGAGCACAGGTCAATCATTCTGGTGTGAAAAAGATTCTGATCTGCTCTTTAAAGTTAAGCTTAAATTATGACAAAATGATAGAGTGTAAATGCTTGATGAATGTAGTTTGATTAATTGATTTTTTTGATTAATCTCTGAAGAGTAATATAGGTATTACTTGAAACCAATACCTGCATTAAATCCATGCTTTTACCAGTAATTAATTATTCATGATGGTCTTTCCCACCCAGGCGATCCTGGGGGAAATCCGAGAAGAAGAAGATGAGATTTTACCAAGAAAAGACTATGAGGTAAATAACTGGAGCTCATGGTGTCTCTGAATGAAAATAAAATCTAAAGCTACAGCGTTTGTGTTTACTTTGATAGAGCTTGGATTATGACCGGTGCACTAATGAGCCCTATGTGGAGGTTGTGGAGGCGACAGATAATAAGGTAACGGCATCCTTATAAGTTTTTTTTTTTTTTTTTTTGAGTAAAAGTTCAGATGTAGATATTATTATCACATATAATGTTAATGTTGCACATTTTATTTTTCTACAGCAAGCCAAAAAGTATGAAGTGGTACGATGGGTGATGGTGTTTGGCATAGGAGTCACAGTGGGTCTGGTAAGTGCAGAGGAACTAGGATTGTTCTCATGCACTGTTTATTTACTTGATGCTAACTGTTTGAAATAACCAGAGTGTGTTTGTTTCTCTATCAGGTGGGCCTGTTTGTGGATTTCTTTGTCAGCCTTTTTACCACAATCAAATTCTCAGTGGTTGGTGCTTGTATCCTTTCACTTACACGTGTTAACTAATCTGATGAAACTATATTGGTATGACCAGTCTAGCTAATTTCTGCATTGTTACATGTGATGTACCATATTTATTTCCTCATTAATGGTAAATGGTAGTCTTCATGACTACTCAGTGGGCTTTACAATACACTACACTACACCATTTAGCTACTAAGAGCAAGACTGTACTTAAACTACCAGGTTTGGAATTGAACCCACACCCCTCTGGGAGGACAACTAAACTACCTACAGATCTACAGCCACCTCTTTTTCATCCTAAAAACCTCTTCCTACTGTAAATCATTTTACATGGCACCAAAAACCTTAGCTGAATATCTCCAGCTGTGGAAAAGTGCAGTGACAAAGGCTGCCTCCCTCTGTCTCTTTTGGAATTCCTGGCATTCAACATGTTCTTCATCTTTATTGCCAGTGTACTTGTCCTTATTGAGGTAAGATTAATTACATGTTGGACACCTTGGCATTTCGACGATTCAAACTTCTTTTTAAGAGAGGTTGAAAGTTAATGGCTTATGGAGGAATGATAGAATAAAGTAGTTTGGTTTTTGCCATCAATCCTCATTTTGAAAAGTCTTGATTTGTTGTTACACTAGAATCAATTCTGTCCAATTTTGTTTTATATTCAGAATTATTTGTAGTATTTCTGTTAATATGGTATTTATTTTGCTCCTTTTCCAGCCTGTGGCAGGTGGTTCTGGAATCCCAGAGATTAAAAGTTACCTGAATGGGGTGAAAATTCCAGGAATTGTCCGTCTGCGAGCTTTTCTCTGCAAAGCTACTGGAGTTATATTCAGTGTGGCTGGAGGTAAAGGACGACTGTGAAAAGATCAGGAGAAGATACAAAAAAAAAAGTTATTAAATGTGCAGAGTTATTAAAATGTCACGACAGCTACCACATCTTATTGCATTCATTTTCTTTGGTTTTAATAAGTAAGAGTCATCAATTGTACATTGTATTAGTTGTGGTTTTAAAAATGTGTGTCTACACAGGTCTGTTTGTTGGTAAAGAAGGTCCCATGATTCACAGCGGCGCAATTGTCGGAGCTGGTCTTCCTCAGGTAAAACACCACACAACAAATGATTAACTACCAGTTCATTATAGGCTTTTTTTTGTTACATATCTTTTCATTAAAATGCTGACCTATGTTTTATTTCTTCTCTGTTTAGTTTCAGAGCATTACATTCAAGAAGATCAAATTTAATTTCCCCCATTTCCGCAGTGACAGGTACAGTGATACCACATGATCCAGCCTCCTCCCCAGTAGTAAGAGGAATATTATCAGCATTTCTTTGTGCTTTTGTTCAGGGACAAGCGCGACTTTGTGTCAGCAGGAGCTGCAGCTGGAGTCGCTGCTGCCTTTGGGGCTCCTATAGGTGGAACCTTGTTCAGTCTGGAGGAGGGCTCCTCTTTTTGGAACCAGGGCCTCACTTGGAAAGTGGTAGGGTATCTTTTTTATCCACCACACTATACTTTGGGTTTTAATGTCAATATTTGTTAATCACCTGGCTTTATCAAATCAATGTTTGTAGACTGAAATGCCAGACTATATTAACTACACACTTTATAGACATCATTCTGTGAAAATTTAATCTGAATCTAATCTTTGTCTCCACAGCTCTTCTGTTCCATGTCGGCAACTTTCACTCTGAACTTCTTTCGCTCTGGTATTATCTTCAACAACTGGGGCTCCTTTCAGCAGCCTGGTCTGCTCAATTTTGGAGAGTTCAAGGTAAAGATCCATGTGATGACCTGGATATTAAAATACTACAAGTGCTCCATGTTTTTCTGCATTCAAAAGGTCTGGGAATCCTCTGGGGTTCTGGGTGAGCTATTAAATAGTACTAATGTTGGGAAAACTCATTCTATTTCACATATTCATTTCTCAAATGAAAAATAACTATCTTTACTCACTTGATGTAATGTATCAAACCTCTGGTTCATCAGTGTCCAGAAGGAGATAAGAGCTGCCACCTGTGGACCGCTGTAGACCTGGCCTTCTTTGTTCTGATGGGAGTGGTGGGAGGGTTACTGGGAGCCCTCTTCAACTGCATGAACAAGTGCCTGGCAAAGTATCGCATGAGACACATCCACCCTAAGGCTAAATTCATCAGGTGAACCCTTTAATGCCTCTGTGCCTGCTAGCTGTTGTCTAACTTCATCACATTGTCTTTGCAGACAATATAGATGAAGGGAAAAACCTGAAAACATTTGAAAAATAGGATATTTTACTAGTTGAACAAGGCAACAAATGTCTCTATGCCTACACAGAGGAACATGACCAAAATGAAAAATATAATAAAATACCTGGCAGCGATATGCTGATGTCATTGTGAGAATCTGTTCATAGAATCTGTGTGACACTGTCTTCTCCCAGAGTGTTGGAGGGTCTCCTGGTCAGCATGGTGACGACAGTGGTGATCTTTGCAGCTTCTATGCTTTTGGGCGAATGCCGTGAGCTGTACATCCCTGCAAATCAAAACGCCACAGTAAGTTCCTGCTCTTTTGTTTCTTATTATCTCATATGAACAAGAGAGGGACAAAGGGACGTCAACTGGCTCTGCTGGTTCAGCTAATTTTAATAATCTTATACTTTAACTTGCCTGTTTTTCCTATTAAGATTTACACATGTTAGCGGAGCAGATAATATAGTATATAGTAACCTATATTCATATCTCCGCCTTTTTGCTCTATTTGCCCAAAGTGTGTTTTTTTGGCTTTCTCTTTCCAGAAAACAGTTGCAAAATTGTCTTCAAATTGCTTAAACATGCAGCGTTTTTCTTTTTCCTGACCTTTCACCATCTGCAGCTGTCCTATTTGTGGTTTAAAACAACATGAACATTTTTACATTTTTTACCTTTTACCACAAGGGTGGAGTAAACTGTATGTCCTTTGCCTTAGGACATCACTTTTATCGTCACATGCTAAGCATTTTGCATTTTCTCTCAGGTTTCCGGAGAAGACATCAACTCCACCATCCGTCAGTTCTTCTGCAGCAACAAAACCTACAATGACATGGCCACGCTGTTCTTTAACCCACAGGAGGCTGCCATTCGACAGCTGCTTCACCAGGATGGTGAGATGAGTGCATGCACAACCCTCAAAGGACTACTCTAACGTTTCCATGTCATTTTAAGTCTCAGGGCTTTAGTTACAAATATATGTGTGCAATAAAGTTCTTATTTTACTCTGACTCACCCCCAGTTTCACTTTTAACATTAATGGTGGCATTATAACAGGTTGATGGCAAATTGAAAACTGAGTTTTTGGCTCACGTATCTGCTGTCTGTACCAAGTCTTTAAAGTGTTGGCTGTTGCCCCAGAAGCCCTTCTGTTGTCAGTCTATAATTTATTGAAATGTAATCTTAAAGTCTTAATGGTTCTATTCAGCAAAGTAATACAACTGTCATAAAGAACGTTAAAGCTTTTTAAATGTCATTCTCCAGTTAACTCCTTCTCTGTTACTCACAGGAACCTTCAGTCCTTTGACTCTGTTGCTGTTCTTCGTGTTCTATTTCCTCTTGGCTTGTTGGACCTACGGTGTGTCCATACCCAGTGGACTCTTTGTGCCGTCTTTGCTCTGTGGGGCAGCGTTCGGACGGCTGGTCGCCAACATCCTCAAAGTGTAAGAACATCTTATTTTCCTCTCCTCTCAGTCTGATTGATGCAAAAAATATCAAACAAAAAAATTACAACAACAACTTTGACTTTAAATGAGACAGCATTGGATATATAAGTTAAACATGTTTGTTCTGTGTTCATCCTTGTTGATGCCCAAATTTGAAACAATGACTTTTTCTAAGGTGTGACCAGTGGGAAAAATTGTTTTGGTTGTTCTTTCTAAAGAACTGATGTATTTTTCAGTAAGCTACATGGTACTTGGAGCAGGAAAACATATTTACTGACCAATAATGACACAGAACACTGTGTTTTAGTCTTTTCACCCACTGCTTAATCTGTCACCTTGTGTCTAAAGCTAACAGGACTCAGAGGAATGTGCTGACATGATGACTTTCTCCTGTTGATTCTTTCACTTCCTCTGATTCCACACACAGGCAGAGTGATCGCTGTTGACAGGCTTTATTTGGTTTACCAGACTCAGAGGTTCACAGCATCTGAAATGTCAGACTCTACTCATTAAATGAAAATGAACATGATGAAGTGTAAAACACGGACATAACTGTATATCTAATAGTTCCACCGCCCATTCACTTATCTTTGCTCTAATACAGTCGATACACTGTTTATTCCTTCTGTCTTTGTGTCCCATCAATATGTAGTAAAAAAGATTTAGGAATGACCTTGATTAATTATGATAAATAACAATTGTGATTAATCACGAGGAGTCATGATTAATCCACTGCTACCCTGTGATTTATCTGATTGTACCTATGTAGGGGCTGTTTTTTTATTATTATTTTTTAATGATTTGTGCAGGATAATAAACACAAACAACATATGTGTGCACGTGCAAGTGTGTGTGTTTGCAGTTATGACATAGTTCTGTGTTTGGTCATTAGAGTTCTCTCTCTTTGTGTCTTTTCTCTGACAGGAAACTACAGCTGCACATTTACTCAGGAACCTTTGCTCTGATTGGTGCTGCTGCCTTTCTTGGAGGTGTGGTCAGAATGACCATCAGTCTGACTGTCATCCTGATAGAATCCACCAATGAAATCTCGTACGGGCTGCCCATCATGATCACTCTGATGGTAAACAGTTGTCTCGTGTGTTACAGGCTTTCCTTTTGTTATTCAATCTCAAACTCATCTGATGCAAAATGACAAATTAAGATCTGACTACATAAAGTTGACAGAATTGACATTCTGCCATTTTGGAGGATGGTCTTGATTCTATTCTAGATAACCTGTAAAGTCTGTTGTTGGGTTCAAATGTATTCTGTCAGTCCTGGCTTTACAAATGAAATGGACTGGTTTTGATATAAATCAGATATGTGCTTCGTGTTGTTTTATTGCGGCGTCTGGTTTTGTCCTGATTAACGCAGGTTGCCAAATGGACTGGAGACTTTTTTAACAAGGGAATCTATGACATTCACATTGACCTTAAAGGAGTGCCATTGCTGGAGTGGGAGACTGAGGTGGAGATGGACAAGTAAGACTCTTCTCAGTGTGTGATTTTCATCCTACTTTACTTTTTGGTTCATTTAAATCAGATATAAACACCTATACCTCTCCGACCCCCAATAAGTGTTTTGAGGAGGATATTTCAAATTTCATTTCAATTCAAATTTTAAAACTAAAGTCCACTGAGGCAAACGTGTTTTGTGAATTTGGGCTACACAAAAAAACTGTATAATGCTGAACTTTAACTTTATTGCATCCTATTACAGTGAGAATAAAGAAGATGGTTCACTCTAACAGTTGTTACTTAGAAATTAGTTTGTAACCTGTAAGAATTATGAGGTAATTTCTCACCAGATTAACCGCCAGTGACATCATGGAGCCCAACCTGACCTACGTGTACCCTCATACTCGAGTCCAGTCCCTGGTCAGTATCCTCCGCACCACTGTCTACCATGCGTTTCCTGTGGTGACTGAAAACAGACAGAATGAGAAAGACTTCATGAAGGGCAACATCCTGGTCAGCAACAACATTCGCTTCAAGGTTTGTCCTGGACCATTTTATAATTTTAGTCCTGTAAGCCCAGGCTGCTCGTTACTTCCTCCACCATGGAGCTCTGTGTCTGGGACATGACTCTGACCAATGACTAATGAAGGACATTCATTTTTAAATGTTTATCTGTACAGATGCTACTGCCTTAAACCTTTACATCTGACATCAGTATCAATCATGGGAACTTCATAGAATGATTTATAGGTAAAGATGACATGTTTGACCATTAGACAAGTTTGCTGGATTTCCAAAGGTGTCTTGATTTTGTCAGACATCCAATCTGTAGAATGTGGTCTCAGTACTGACCCCATCAGGATCTTCATAACTTGTGAATGTCTCCTATAGAAATCCAGCGTCATGTCTCGTGCTGTGGAACAGCGGCGTCGCTGCCAGTCAATGAAATCGTATCCATCCAGTGAGCTGAGAAATGTCTGTGATGACCAGACTGCAGTGGTGGAGCCAGCAGAGGAGGGAGAGGATATGCTGCAGCAGATGTTAGAGAGAAGGTGGGTTGGATGGATGGATGGATGAATGAATGGATGGATGGATGGATGGATGAATGGATGCATGCACTGCTGCAGGGGCTCTCATTAATCACATCATTTTCCTCAAAAACATTATTTTCTACGTTCAACGTTGATAAATAACAAATAAACCTCATTGCTGATCTCATGCAGGCACACACCCTACCCCAACCTGTACCCAGATCAGTCTCCCAGCGAGGAGTGGACCATGGAGGAGAGGTTCAGGCCGCTAACTTTCCATGGCCTCATTCTGCGCTCGCAGCTTGTCAACCTGCTCATCAGAGGAGTCTGTTACTCTGAAAACCAGTCAGTAAGTCTGCAAAGCTGAAATACAACCTTGATTACTAGAACAACAGACTTTTTTAAAAGTGGAAAGAAGTGTTTTTTTTTTTGTTTTTTTTTTTTAAAAGCTCACAGCTGAAAAATGAATATTGGTACCATACACTAATAATAAAACAAAAACTGTTCAAAGACCCACGTGTGCCATAATGTTGGTCAATCGTCTGCTCTTACCTTCTCTCTCAGAGTGCCACTCAGCCCAGGTTGTCCTATGCCGAGATGACTGAGGATTATCCTCGTTACCCTGACATCCATGAAGTGGACCTCACCCTGCTCAACCCTCGCATGATTGTGGTATGCCTTTACTGTTGGAACAAAGAAAAAAATTATATCTATATTTTTCAGTACATTTTCTGTCTAAACATATCATGTCTATGTCTATCATATGTTCCACCAGGATGTTACTCCATATATGAACCCGTGTCCCTACATCGTGTCGCCCAACACCCGTATTTCTCAAGTCTTCAACTTGTTCAGGACCATGGGACTAAGACACTTACCTGTGGTCAATGCTGTTGGAGAAGTAAGTATAAACATACAGATACAGACAAGGAGCTACTCTACTGCCACCTACTGGTTCTTTATTCAGCTACTAAAGCCTTCCACTCGGGAATGCTTCGATTACTGGCAAAAAAAGAAAACGCAAACACGGGGTAGCTGCACTGCTAATGACCTCAGCACCATACACTTTCTTATCAAAACTGACAGATAGGATCCTTTTCATGGATAATAAAATGCTTTGGCGTTTTCTGCATAATAAGCACAATGCTTTATATTTTTCTGGGCAACGCAATGTTACAGTTAAGATCAATTCATCTTGAGAAGAAAAATCCTTTCCTGTCATGTTAGCCTGCATTTGTAGTTAACTAAATGCTATTTTCTGCCCCTCTGTCAGATTGTTGGAATCATCACCAGACATAATTTAACCCACGAGTTCCTTGTGGCCAAACTGCGACAGCACTACATGACGTTTTGACTGGGACTCAGGAAGTTTTATTTTTCTACTTGTTCCTCGAGCCTCGTTCCGATCCCTTACAGCATGTGACAAATTCCAATAGAGAAAAAAAACACTTTTTGTTTTTCTTCAACTCCAACATAAAATCTTCAGGTTCAAATATAAGTCAGCCTCGCTTTGACTTCTAGGGAGTGAACACACTAATCATGGATATGGTACAACTGCTACTTTAACTGCTTTAACCTGTCACAATTCATATACAAACTGTTGCTAAACTGTTCAATAACCTGAAATGACAAATAGGACATTACAGTTAGGTTACATTATATTACAGTTTTATTTTCTAACTGAAACGAGGGAATTTTATTATCAAACAGTTGTGTTTTTTTGTCATTTTTGATTTGGTTCTTGTAAAATCACATTTGTAATTTGTCATGATTTCCATTAGTATAACAGGCATTTACCTATACTTTACAAAAGTGATCACTAACTGTTGGCCTGCTGGTCAGATTGGATGGTTTGGTGGGATAGATTTGGTCCATGGGCCCATTTTCTTCAACGAATGATAATGTTAGATCATAAAAATGTGATTTTTTTTTTATTTTTAGTTCTGCTTTTTAGGGAATAGACACAACTCTCCAAACAGGTGACCAAAATGAATACAGAGCAGTTTTATTTCCATTTTTTTTATTTCCACTATTGTCACTGCAGCACTTTTGTTTTGATAATTTTTTTACGTAAAAAAAAAAACAACTGGAATATATGCACTAAAATGGCCAGTACTTACGGCCTCCTCAACCTGTGTAGTTTATAGGTCCCTTGCTTGATTCGTTTCTCTAGCAGGGTAATTACATTGTTTTATTTATGTTGCTGTTACTACAGTGTGTGGATATTCCCTAGCTAAGCATAGCACCGGTTCCAAACTTACATATATTTTATTCCAGACCTTCAAGTTCAGCCTGTTGTTTTAAAATCTTTCTTAAAAGGGACCTTAAAACGTCACTCTGACCTCGAGGCACATATACACGGTATATATCCGTTTTATTCCCCTGTCTTTGCTTTATATTTTATTGAAGAGATTATTTTTTTATGATTTAATTTTTATAATTTGCTGCTTATTAATACTTGAGTCATGCAGTTACATTTAAGAATGTTGAATAAATGTTTTTTTTTGGGGGGGGGGTATTCTTTTGTGTTCTCAGAACGTCTCACATGTTGTTTTAAATGACTTTTATTTTTAAGATTTGTTGCTTGGTGTGAAAGGTTGTGTTAGATGAAACATTTGACGATGTTTTCCAAATGTCTATGATTTACTTGGAGGTTGGAAGACTTCACAGCAGTGAAAGAAAAAGGGAGGAGTGTCCTGTGCCTTTTTACTCTTTAAATAAAGGCCTTTCTTTCTGACGGCAAATCTGGAAACGTGTGTGTGTTCATTTGTTAAGACGCTTACAATTCATTTTGTAGGGCAAAGGAAAATAATTATTTCAAGATGTCACTGGAGAAACCAGAGCTGTTGCTTTAAACTCTTTGAATCCACTATCCCTCCTGTTATCACATGGCACACAGAGGATGGTCATGACTCTAGGTTATTATTTTGAAATTATTATCACTGTATCTTCCCTCCTGACCTTTATCCAGTCTGCACTTCACACACCTGTTATCTCCCATTGTTAGAAGCATAGAATTATATACAATTTTGATAACAGCTGCTACAAAAATACATAAGTAAATCCAATTTATCATCTGCCCTAAAATAATCTGAAACAGTTAAACCAAAGTATAGTAAAGTAGTAGTCAATTTAAGATGAATAAACAAGATAATAACTTTGTAATTAAGAGGACAGAAGGCATTTTCATAAATCCACATCTGAAGTCACTGCATTCAGCTTTGAAACACTTGGTGGCGTTGTAGGGCTGCAGGGGGGGCTGCAAGCAGCAGAGCACCTTTGGAATTAAAGACTTTTTTTCCCGTTTTCTTCAGAGCTCATTATTCCAGTCATCCTCAGCCTGAGTGATGATGTGACCTGTGGGAGATATTTTTAGATATTTAAATTTCACACTGGTTTGTTAAGGCGTCGGGGTCAGAGAGGGCAGTTGACAAGCCGCTCTTGTCGTTCAGTCAGGATGAATTCAATGCCATTAAATGTATTCCATGAGGGAAATTGACCTCTGACCTGTGGGCTCAGTGACTGTAGAGTGTGTAACTGCTTATTAACTGAGTGAGTGGATGTGTTTGGTACAGTTGCAGGATACAGTATGTTATGAACACAATACCAAGTATTTCTTTCCAATATTTTACGGCAACAAAAACAAATAGTGTCAAGAAGTATATACAGTATTCTAATGGTAGTAGTGAAGGTAATAGTAAGTTAAAGTAATTTAAATTAGGGTTATTTAACTAGTAATTTTTAGTTAAAGTTTGTTTTGTTGAAGGGACATTTTATTAAATGACATCCTGTTTGTATTTATTTAGAATAGTTGTGATCATTTTTGTCTTAATTTTTATATATTAGGCTGCCAAGAGGTTTTGATAGTTTTTATAGTTTTTCCCAATATCCACTATGATCTTTTGTGTCTACAGTAAATGTTTGTATTCCTCATAAACACACAGTCAGTTTGTGTTCAGTCTCTCTTGCGTGACAGCCCTCCAGCAGCTGCAGCAGCCATAATGTTACCCACACTCACTTGTCTGAGGTGTGGAAGGCGACTGAGCTCATTAGAGAAAATGACTCGTGAGTTCCACAGCAGCTCAGATAATACAGTCTGTCAGCAGGAGACTGAAGACCCGCAGCGATTAGAGAGAGACAACCAGCATTTGTGATTGACTCTCTCCCTTCATCATTTCACCTATTATTATTCTTTTCATTGTTACGACCGACTTAACAGTGGTATATGATGTTGGAGGTGGGAAGTCAGAGGTTTTGGAAAATGTAAAAACTTTGAGAGTTCATATCATGCTGCTGGCACACACATTTAACTGTAATAATAATTATAATATTAATTTAAATCTGCAAAAAGATGCTATCAAAATATTTGGACTAAAACATGATCTTAAAAATGAAGTTAGTTGATCTTGTTTGAAATTTGTATTTAATTGCACTTTAATGTAAAATTGATTTTTCAGCAGTGTTTCTATTCAGCAGTATCAACCTTTCTATTACATATAATTCAGTTATGTGTAATAAATGATGTAATCAAGTCAATTGTTGCCGGACTTTTCTGGACCAAACTCTCGTCATCTAGTTTATCTTGAATTGATCTTGTTAAACGCCCTTGAGCTCAGCCCTCTCCACCGGATATAATGACACAATAACAGTAACTTTGAACAGTGACTTGGTCAGTTAATCATTTCACTTCTTTCAGGAATATGTAATGTGAACTATTCCAAGAGGTGCAGCTATTTTTAAACTCTGGTTTATCATTTAATCCCAAGACTAAGTTTAACCACAGAACATTTCCTTTTAAAAGCCTTGTCCGTGGTCACCTGCCCAGAGAACACCTTTTCCTTTGTCCGTGGTCACCTGCCCAGAGAACATAACATGATTCTATTTTTTTATTTGATTATTTGTCATTGTGACACAGCACACCACTGCACACAACCAAATGTGACCTCTGCTTTTTACCCATCACCAAAGTGAACAGGGAGCAGCTTATAGAGTTTAGTTTAGATTTATAGTTGAGATGTATTTACTTGCTTTAAGATGAACAAATACATTTCCAACGTGCCTAAAATTAAGACATGATTATTGCAGGAAAATAAAAATACAGTATGTGATTCACAAATGCCTCCAGGACATACATCACCCACACAGATGGAAAGAACAATTATAATGCCATTAAAAGCTCCTTAGCCCCAATGACCTCCCACTGCATCCTGACAGATACGGACGACTTCACCTCAGGCTTCCTGCAACCACACACTGACTTTTCTACTGAACAGGAGAATAAAGACTGAGAACACGGTCCCAAAGGAAGTTTAGTGTCTGATTGAACGGCTGTTTTCCTTCACAAATATATCATTTCAGTGAATTGAAATAAGCTGTAATTCCCTCAAGGCCTTAAATCAAAAACCCAAACTATTCAAATATACAGTTGGAGTGGATGAAAGTAACTGTCTGACACTGGCAGTTTGTTTGTTTGTCTTTTAATAAAATGTGCATTTTTCTCTGCCACTGATGGATTTTGGGATGTTCACACCTTCACCACTGAGGTTTTTAACTTGGTTGATTATAATAATGACAAAACATTTGGGTCCACTAGTGGGTGCTGTCTGCTATTGTTTTGTTCTGGGGTTTTTTTTTACCCATTTTCCTCTAAATGGGATTGCAGTAAACAAAAAACACTAACAATAGTGAGTGAGACCTGAAAAAATCTGCCTGTGGCTAAAAAAATAATAATGAAATGCTTGTCTTAATTTCACAAATATCATAACTTTACTCTTAGCCTTTTAGAAACCAAACTGTCCAAACCTGTCATTCATGAAATCTGAGTTCTACTAGGTATTTCTGATTTGATCGGTAAATAAAACCATTAAGTTTCTGTGATTTCTCTGGTGTTTGTTTTCAGATTTAGTTCCTGTTTCGTGAATAGGCCACAGCTGCTAATTGATTTTTTTTAATGCAACCTATTTAGACAGTAAAGTAAATGAATGGAATTCCAGTTTTTTTGTAACAACATTCTACATTCAGTCAGTGGAATGTTGTTAGAAACTTTTAACCTGGAACAGTTTGTCTTTGCCTGAGTTTTCCTGACGACCAGTTCGGAGCGTCATAGTGACATTTCAGTGTCACTACTTTCCACCTTGCTAGTGGCGAAAGCTGAAAACCAATTTAACCTTCACCATGTCCATCCGCTCCACAGCCCATTCTTGTCCTAGCCTGCTCCCAGATTCCCACGCCATTACATCATGCCATCCCCTTCCCGCCGGCTGTGGAAAGACTGGTGTATACATGTAAATATGACCCCTCTATTGCCACCTCCACTGAGATAAGCTTTTCACACCAGAATGGCGGTGCATATATTTAGACCTGCTAAGGGCTGCTATTTTTAACGTATGTCACTTGTCCGATTTCTGCCCTATCTCTGCAGATCTGAATTAGGAAGCAGCGGGGGAAAAGGAGAAGGGGCGGAGCTTCTGATTTATTCAATGAAACCACTTCTGGGACTTCACTAACTGAGAGACACTGTTGCTGAAAACGCAAAAATGCAAATATAAATATGTACTTGTATGCCAGTGTTTGACCGGCCTGCCTGCAGTCCAGATCTGTCTTGAATAATATTAAAAAATTGATTTGACTTGTCGTCTGCTAAAAGCCTGGCTCTTGCCGGTCAGTCTGCTCCCACCCTCCCTACTTCCCTCCCTCCCTCCCTCCCTCCACCCTTCCTGCTCCTCTGACAAACAGTAATGCAGCACAATTGTTTGATTGACAGCTAGTTGACAAGAAATGGTTCCAGACCAGGAGGGGGCGGGAAAACTGTAACTTTGATTGGATCGAAGTTTTAGACGAGTCCTACAACTAACTTCCCAATAACTTATCAGAGATGCCTGTGTGATGGAAGAGGTATTTACATGATATTATAAAATGCTAACTGTATAACCAGTACAAGTGCATTAATACACATTAGTGCTTCAGCTCTCGGCAGTGGTTTGACCTCACCACTTGACTGCTCACTTTTCTCTTACATCCTGTTCCAGAGCTAACAAACACATGTTTGTTTTTTTGTCTGACATTTGGTCAGACCAACATTAAAAACCCCATCATCTGATGCAATCCAGAAATAACCCCAGGTCCAGGGCAATGATTTGTTAGACTAGTTTACAAATAAACCCTACCTGCCCTCTACCATAGTGACTGCTGACATGTTATTTTTGGCTCCTTTACAGATGATTACAGTCGGTGCAGGTGTGTGAAGTACAGACTGGATAAAGGTCAGGGGGACGATATGGGAATTTTAAAATAATAACCCAGAGTCATTACCATCCTCTGTGTCATAGCCGGACTGTGTCAGGTGACCTCACAAAGCATGTGTGCCAAACTCCAGGCCTGAGGGCCACAGCTAACCCGCAAACACACTCATACTCAACACTACTTTCAAGGTATTTGGTGTCTGAACAGAACCAAAAATGCCAATTCTACATTCTGTCAAAATCAAAATTCTTACCTTTATTGAATAGCATGAGGAAACTGCACTTGACTTTCATGTCCAGCAGAGACAGCTCAGGATTTTTCCAGCGGTGTGATGACGATAAGCTTATCTTTGGAGGGAAGGAAGTGGTGGGGCGCTGTTGACAGGATGCTCCGGAGAAGCAGCCGTGACTGTCTGACCGTCTGTCCCTCTGTCCCATCGTTTATCAGGTGACACATTCCTCGGTTACACCACACGTTGCTGGAATCAAATAGTTTAAAAATGTGTCATAAGGAAGACGTAGGGCCATTCATGGCCTTGTCAGGAACATTCAAGCTTGTGACAAAGTCTCATATAAGGTGAGCA